GTTTTTTTTTTTTTTTTATCTATATCTAGGTTATTATATCAATGTAATACAAAATATAAATGCAGTCTTTAATATTTTAATTTTTAAATATCAATCATTGTATATTATATTTGAATAGTTTCATACAGTCAAACAATATAATATCATGATAAATGATAATGATAATGACTTATATTTATATGAATATAATGTGGAAAAAAATGGTAGTCGGGAAATTTTTTCCGTATGAGACTTGTTTATATAAGCCTATTTCCTACTCATATGCATAAATATATAATATAAAATTTGCGTTTACCAGCTATTACCTACTATACATAAATAAATAATAGTTAGAATAAATACATTATTTTCCTCCTTCTTTACGTATTATAATCTCATAATTCTGTTATTAATTTATGTCCATAAGTTCAGTATTAAAAAGTATATTAGTAGTATAAAATGAATAAATATACATTTTTTTATGTTTTTCCTTTTCTTTAAAATAAAAAAATATATTAATTATATATGAATAAAGAAGCCAAGTACTGGTTAAAAATTAATTTATGCGTTATGTTTAGGAAAGTTAAGTTTAATTATTTTCTATGTTGTATTAATATATTTATTGTTACATTTTTTTGAATTAAAATAAAATAAATAGGTTATTGACGCTTGTTATTATATTGTGCGTAAATTTGATTTATTAAAAGTATAACATTAAATCTAAAAACATTCAAATGTACCTATGTATATATTGTTTATTGAGTTATGAAGATAAATTTTTAGTAAACAAACGTTTGATTAGGGGTACTTACTAAAGTTTCATTAAGGCCGTTCGAAATTATTTTGCCCGGGCCGTGTTATAGAGCTAGTCCAACCCTGTATATGGCATAAGATGATGATCACCTAAGTGTAGGAAAAAACTATAATATATATACATATATGTATGATTTAATAGTACCATGTTGCTTTTTAACTAAACAGTGCAAAATAAATATGTAGAACAATTAAAAGTTACAACTCTATGTTTAAAAATTATCTTGAATTATTATTACTTGTATTTAATTTATATATTAGTTAGTATATAATGTGTAAGTATTAATGCATTTATGTAAACCATTATCAAGGTAAATTTTAATTGACTTATTTTATTGTCAACACGTTCACTAATATTTGTTTTTATGTATTTCATAATATTTAATATAGATATTGTATTGTATATATGTGGAGTCAATAAGTAGCACATTTTTATTGAGCTTAGAGTTTATTTCTATATTCAATTAAGGTCTTAAGAATATTAGAGCTTACAGCATTTTTTTTTTTTTTTTTTTGTAGTTACCGTAAATAATGTTGTTCAGATATTATAAGATATTTTTCTGAGATATTTCAGTTTAGAACCAATAATAATTTAATAACAATAGGTTATTAGGTACGCAAAAATATATACATTATAAAACTACAAAAATCGGTAATATAAAATTAAAAATGTATATAGACCATTATGCTAGTAAAAATCAAACATTTTTCGCATCCATTTATATCAATTACATATAAATAAATACAAAAGTTAACTATTCAACAACCAATTTTATGCCTCGGTAATTTTTAGTTCTTCGTATGTATGTAAGGTTACCAGCTGTGTGCAGTAATTGGAAAACCTGTGTGAATATTTTATAAATGCATTTTTATTATTTACCTTGCCACCTACTACATCGTTTATAATGATATAGCAATAATTTTGTTGTATTTTATTGTTTCACTTGTTTTGTTAGATAAATTTTTCATTTAATCGAAAGTACCTAAAATAACGGTTTCATATAATTAATCAGTTACAATAGATTAATAACATACAGCCAAAAAGGTTTTGGCTTCTTGAACAAACTTGTATCGCAATGTTATTTAGATTTTATTATAATTAAATAAGAAAAATTAAACAAAACAAGATTATCAATGTGACAAATTAATTTATTGATATTTTTACCTTACAAAAACACACATAGTTAATCCAAAAATAAAGCTGCTTATTGTATCTGTTGACTATAGATATTGTAATTTTTTATTGCATAATATTTATACCCAAACCACAATATTCATTTGAAAAATAATATTGTGATACGTTTACACGTATAGTAATAAATAGTTATGCATAAAATCATCATATATTTCATTATTAAAATAATTTCATAATGAAGATCAACAGTTTAACTGGACTAATTATTATCGTATATATTGTTAATTTCGTGTACCAGTGGTTTTATCTATGTATAATCAGTTGTAAATAATATTTATAACTTAAACAAAAAGAAAATATAAAACAAAAAAAAATAAATGATAATATTACAAATGTGAATACAAATATCAAATACCTATGAAAATATAATATTAACCTGAAGAATTGACACACTGCGTTATGAATCGAACGCGATCCATAATTTTTTTAATACTAGGCTTAATACTGTGTCATATTACATGTCTTTTTCTGATATTGCTAATCATATTAGCCTTAAACCATTAGCTACTCGTCTTAAATATAATGATATAGTATTTATGTATAAGTTATTAAACGGTTTGATAGATTGTCCAGAATTTTTATCTTTAATTAGTGTTTTAAAGTCCCTGTTTTTAATTCTAGAAGTAAATCAAGTTTTTATGTTCCCCCCAGTACTCGTAATTACGTTATTATAAGTCCAATATGCCGCTTGTCTAAGTCATGTGATGAAGTTGTAAATTTTGATTTTCAATTTTTATTCTTTATCTACTTTAAAATTATTTTTATTTAATTAATTGTATCTAATTGTTATGTTATGTTCTGTTATCAATATTGCCATGAAAAAATTACTATATGTATAATAATTAATTCATTGTACTTACCCCTTAAGGGCGTTAAGAAAAAAATAAAATAAATAAATAACAATACCTATTTCAAATCACACCGTGTATATGTCTTTACGTTAAACTTATATAATAATTTTATTCTATAATAATTATATTGTGTTAAGGATATTTGCCGCTGTAAATATACAGGATACGGGCGATTGTTAACTCCGCCAGTTTTTTTTTTCTTATCTGTAATAAGTATATGTAAACTCCGCCAGTTTTTTTTTTTTTTTGTTTAGCTGCTCAGTGCTCACATTGCCTCGTACCTTCTCACATTAAATACGTTGACATTTATTACGATGTTATATACTAATGTAGTAATACAAAATTTAGAATATTTACAAATTGTATCATATAATTTTAGTTTACATATATGACATAACTATATATTTTTGCATTATTAGGTATAACGGTTATTTATTATGATTTTTTTACTATGATTTAAATATTTAATGTAAATTATATGATAATATTGTATTATAATTTTTTTTTAAAACATATTATATTAATTTTATACTACTACTTGATTTTCTTCACTGGCGGAGTTTACATGTATTCAATTTTACCTGATTTTTTTCAGTGGCGGAGTTTACATGGGCCCACAGGATATAATTTATTATCTATCGATGCTAAAGTCACCGAAAAATATAATAAGTCGGCCTTTACCGAGCCTGATTATTTGCTAAAGAATTTTTACTCGGGTAGATATTACAAAATTTTCAATAAATCATCTGCTTAACAATTTATAAATTGGTTTCCATTTAGATTCAAAACTAATTAAATAATATATGTATTATGTATCACATATTTAGAACTACAGGACTTTTGGAATTATATACAAAGAACTTTATTGATGAATTGATGACTATTGGATCAATATAATAACAATTCGGTAGCCTGGTGTGGCACGGTGGTTGGTTTCAGTCACTAACGTGTTCTAAGGTCAAGCATCGGTCGATGTTGCTAACTTCCGGATAGATGACCCATCCGAGTTTTAGTGATAAATCTTTGCCACTTAAACATGCGTTCCAAAATATATACTCCCTCACAATAAAAAAAAAACCAACTGCAGACTAAAGTAAACGAGAAATTTGATTTCTGTCACCAAACTAATAAGTTTTCATTTGAAATCATTAAAATTAACGGAGTACCTACCGTCATTTTATCACAGAAATTTCGTCGCATGTCAATTAGTCGCAGTGATTTGGACGCATACTGCACTTTTTCACGTGTCAATTCGTGGCTTTTCGATATTAGTGATAATTATTTGACTATATACATATATCTATATATATATAATCCATCATGTTAGATATATTTCATGTATCTAGTTTATTTCATGATATTTATGATATACATTTGATTTTCTGTATCGAACAGTGAAAACACTATTACTTGCTGAATAAGTTCCGAATAAAAAAAAAGTATAATGACTTATTCCAATAGACTTAAGTGTTGATAATTTCCAATAAACGAAATTTTACTTGGTATTGCCCAAAATTTTAATTTACCTTTACTTTTAATAAATAATTAATATTTCAGTGGTGATAAGTACTTATAATGTTTATTTTGAATTAATAATTAATTTCAATAAGTAATACAATTATACCATAATATAATACAATATAACATATAAAATATACCAAAATGTATTAAATAAAAAATAAATAAATAAAATTAACATAATATAACCATATTTATTATTGATTATATTTAAATATATTTATTAATGCGAGAAATTTATGCGCGATCAAATGTAACATGCTTTGCAATTACACGGAACAAAATGTCATAGGGCCCAAACGTCGTGTATCCGAATGACCGTGACGAATTAAAGCGCAATGAAATGTATCCCGACCAAATGGCGAATACTTAAAACAGTTAAAACTATAAATTGTACACGTTTATATTGTTGCCATCGTTTCTACGCCAGTTGCGATTGTACTAATCTGCACGGTTACTATATTTGTAATACGTACGTGTAAATTCATTTTTTCCGAAAACATGTCAGCCCGAGTGCGCGATTTTTACATCACATTATGACGCGTATTTCGGTCATCGATAAATCGGTGGATCAATGCGTTTTTCAGAAAATTTCTACGAGTTCCGATTGGCGCCCGGAAGATAAATTCAATGATACCTGCACCATGTGCAATAATTATTTACAACCATTGTTATGTCGTCTAATGACCATCATCGCCGTTATTATTTTCTACGGTGTCTTCGACGTCCACGTCGGTGCGACCACTAACAACGGTACTCACCGGAAACACCAGAGCCATCTGAAACCAAGGTTTTTGAACGGACACTACGTGACATGGCCTACTAAAAGCGACGGGACGACATCCTATTGCGACGCGGACAGTCCACCGCCGAAGCCGCCACCCCACATTTATTACGTACCGGACAACGTGGTCTTCACCCGCATGCAAATGGCCGGAGACAGAGCGTTCATCGTGTCCCCGAGATATAAGTAAGTGCACGTTGATAATAATACGTTGTTGATATCAATTCATGTGTCGTTGTGTTGGAAAAAATCCGTGGAATAGAAGGGATTATGAACAATTTTTTACACAACTGCACGACCGCTATTCGGTCTAATTTGATATCAAAATATATAGTATCAAATTACAATTATAATTATAATATAACGATATTTATCGTTGCCTAATCATGTTTTAATTTTAATTAATATTTGTATTGGCGTTTTTATTTATTTTGTACATGCGACTTTATTATTACGAGTATAAGACTGTTATATTAAAATAAGTGCTTTTGTTTCGATTGTTTTTGTACGTTTAAATAATGCCATAATATATTTATTCGTTATCGTAGTAGACGTTTAATGAAACCGAGATTTTCACAAAAATGTGTCCATTAGATAAAAATTAAAACCATTGTTTCACATTTAGTGAAGAATAAAAAAAAAAATATTCATCATTTTTTTATCTTCTACTTTCCACTCATCTGGAAATTCTCAACAATTATTCTAGTCCCAAAACTAAATAATCCTGACGTATTATCATCCCATCGACCTATTAACCCTTTGTCTTTTTTCATGAAAATTCTAGAAAGATTAATCCTTTAACGAATCTTGCCCATTATAATTGTAAATAAAATTATACCCGACTCCCAATTACGGTTCCGTTTTGCTCAACTTAACAACACATCAAACATACCGATTCTTAGACGGTATATCGTATTCCTCGAAAAAAAAATGTAGGTATTACACGTATACGTCGTATACATTCCTTGATATCGCGAACTTAAGATCGTGTGTGACACGATATGACCTATTTTACAAGCTTACAAGATTTATCTCTCCTGCGTACTATTTATTTACTAAATCCTATCTATCAGAACGTCATTTCTAAATTAAATATGAATCTGTACTCTCGGTTATAGCAGCCATTAACGCTGGCGTTCCTTGAGATGGAATTTTACCTCCTGTTCTTTATAAAATGTTTGTTTCCGACCAACAAACAAAACCCAATTTATCTGTGTCCAATTATGTTAATAATAAGGAAATAATAACGATCGACTCCTATCCACTTATTGCCCCAACTAATCTACACAACTATATACCTCAATCATATGGAAAATTGGTTTATAGAATGCTTTTAAAATAAATCAAAATAATTCCACACAACTTTCAATCATATAGATTAGCCCCATGTTCAAATGTATCTCTCTATAGCATTGCTCTTCCGTCATCTCTAATAATATAATTAAATATCTTTATATAACACTAGATCAACGTGAATTAATCACGATAAAACTAAAAAACTAGTCGTTTAACAATCGTCTACATATGTTAAATATTTTACTTTACAATAATAAGTACGCTTCAATATCAATTGAACTTCTAATGTATAGAACTTTCCCTAAAGCAATATAGTCCTACATTATCAGTTATGGGATAATGATAAAAATTAAATCAATAAACAAAGAAGCGGAATGATTTTATAAAATATTTTAAAATCGTTTAGCTTCACATACTAATTATCTAATAAAAAACTTAGCCTCTATTTCAAAACCAGGTAATCCTTGGTTGTTGAAGTGTAAATGGTGTCGGGAGTCTTTTACAAGGCTAAAATAATAAAATAAGTTTCTAAATCTTAAGTGTCATCAATGGACGGCTTCTTTCGTCAAAATCAATCATTTTCTTTTGTACTCTGAATCCACATTGTATTATAAATAATAATAAATTGTATATTTCTTATAATAAAAAAAATCATTTTTCATAAAACGGAAGTTAATATTTGAATTTTATTTTGTAAATTTTTTTCAGAATTTTATCAGCTATTTTGTGTCACACAATTCATTATTTTTTTTATCACATTTTTAACTTATATTCTTAAAAAACAACTTAGAAAAAACCTGTTATTTTTTTATATTTTATACTAATAAGTAATTATAAAACTATTATAATACTTATCAGTTATCATGCATTTTCACAATGATACTATAACATGTTATTAAAGATTATTAAGTATCTATAATAAGTATCTGTTTTACATTTAAGTACACAATATATCTTAAAACAAACATACATGTTGTATTATTATAATATTAATATGTATTAGCTATAGGTATATATTACCTGACATCGGTGTATTAAAACTAATCTATCTTTCTATTGTTTTCTATTTTCAGTTGAAATATACATAACTACAACAATTCGTTTATGATTTTCCCTTTTTTAATATTTCGAATATTTATTTTTTTTTTTTTTGATTTAACACAAAAATCGGATACAGATTCAACGAATGCTTAAAAGCTGACTTAAATCCAATACCGTTAAGATTGGTCTTAAAGTTAAGATTTGTCTTGGATTCATTTTTATGTGCTTTCAATAAAAATATTTGTATTATATAAAGTAGAAAGCCACATTGTGAGAAATATTAAACGATACAAAATTTGAGTGTTAAATGCATTAATTCCACTTAATGACTTTATTTACATATTCATAAAAAGTACCTATTTTTTTTTTTTTTATTGGCCGAAAAAGAATATATATATATAATAATTTTAAAAAAATATGAAACATTTTATCAATTATTCATCTTCTTTAAGCTATACTTGTGTACCTATAAAATAATAGATTCCATTTCATGATAATATGGTCATTTATTTAATAAAAAGGTTGATTTTACTAAGCGGATTACAACTATATCCTGTAAAAACATTGAAATAATTTTGTCAAAATTTCGATTATCCTCTTATCTTATGAATATATTACGTAAATATGTCCATTTTTTTTTTTAATTTATTTAAAAATAAGTTGGTTATATATTGTACTTCTTAAAAGAAGTTATTTTAATAACAGTAATTAAACTATGTGTTAATTTTAATAATTTATAATTATGTTTAAAATTAAAACAAATTATAAACATATTTTGATTATCTGCTTCGCTTTAAACCTTGCAATAATCTTATAAAGTTTGCCCTAACCTTTAATAAACTTTTAATTTATTTATTCGGAAAGTATGGACGAAAATGTTAATATATTAATCGAAAAGTAAGCTGAGATATTTAACATTTTTATTTCTATTTATAATATATATATTAATAAAAAGATTTATAATAATTAACTCGTTCTTATATAAACCAAAAATAGTTTAACTATTTATCAAATTAATCTATTTTTAATATATATATTATTGTATATTTAAATAATTTTTGGCAGCATTAGTAGTAAAGAGAGATTTCCGTATTATATTAATTATATAACACCTACATTTTTTACATTTATTTCATAAATGACAATAATTAAACAATTAAAACATTTTGAAATGTATTCTGTACATTTGTAGTTTATCACGATAAATTTGATGGTGGTGGAGATAAAATCGTAAAATACTCTAATTAATTAATTCGGCCATTGATTCTGGAAGTTTAGAACTTGTTCATTACTATATATAGTGCAACATTTGGTGAAATGAATTATGTTATTAATTGTATTTATAGCCTTAAAAGAATATAACTATAGACTATATTATTTTCATTTAAATTGTCATTGTGTTGAATTTAAATTGTCAATGCCATTATATTTTGTACTATGTTATTCGTGTATTAGTGATTATCACTAAGTTTTAATAATTGTTTAGGTTTATAATTTGGTTGCATTGATTATTTATTAATTATATTCTGAAGTTAATAACTATGTTATTATATTATTGGTTATTATTTATTATAATATTCTTATAATTATAAATTTCATAAATCATATTGTACATATTATTTCATATCTATTTAGGTACTAACACCACTAACATCATAATACTTTCTACTAAAATACAAATAATTGATTTTTATGAGTAAGAGTTATGAAATATATATGTTATAATTTTTTGAATGCCTTACTTAGTTGAAAACATCGTGTGTTACAGGCCAGGTGTACCGTTTACTTTGGGTTATGTTTCATTAACTGATCGTGTGTCAAATTCAACGGTTTTAAATAACAACAGTTTGAATACCGAACACAAGCGTAATAACGATGATGGTTATCATTCAGTATCACCATATCCATCACTTCGAGCACATTGTCAATTTACCAAGCTCTCAACACAGTATAAAGGAAAAGAAAATCTGTGTGATAGTGAAGGACTTGTGAACGTAGTAGATGTGTACTTGGGTCCAGATGGTATACTATGGATTCTTGATATTGGCGTTGTCAATACATTAACGTCACCTGATCGTGCTAGCAAACCAAAAAAATACAGCGACCCAAAGGTTTTGGGTATTAATGTAACTACTGGTGTTGTAAGTATAACATAGAATAATACTGTGTTCAGTAAAAATATTAAATTCAAAAACATTTGATCAAGAAATTATTTTATAGTACCATTACAGTAATTTATTATCAAAAGGGTACATAATTACTTTAAAACGGTTTTTATTTTTAAGTCATGACTTCACAAGCAAAACGATTTTTAAGATTTTTTAGGCAGTTAGACATTTCTAATAAACTGATATTATAGCTATTTAAAAATATTTAAGATACATTGGCTCAATTTTTTTTTTAAGTATTTGAAGTTCAAACTTTGTCTAAATTCTTCAAAATCATAAACAATTTATAAGATGTTAAATTTTTGTTACTAATATGGTTTAAAATGTAATATAAGATATCTTTTAAGTATTTTTTTCTGTAACTAAAAATTTTTAAACATTAACTAGCATAGAATTTTTATATATATTTTAAGTTTAAATATAAGACAAAATTAAATACTTAAACCAAAAATAAAATTTTAAAATATTATTCGTGGGTACTTGAAACTCTTAACAAATATAATTTTATTTTATACATACAATGATATTTTAAATGCATTATTTTTAGAAAAAATTAATCTTACTAACTGTATTTGTTAATAGTAAAATTAATTAATTTGATTTATATAAATGTATCATAAAATTTACTTAAAATCGTTTTACGTATACAAATTTAATGATTTATCATTGAATTCAAATTTAACACATATATTATATAATAGTAATTTATTTATTGACGAGATTTATTTTACATCTATTCTATTTATACGCAGCAAAACGGTTATCTACATTCTCCCTTTAATATACATTTATTTAAAAGACCGTATTACAATTTTCACTTTGAGCATCTTATAAGATAACTTGGTAGAACGTTACGTTATTAATGAGTTATTTGGAGTAATGATGTCGTATACGACGACGTATAAGACGTCAATATTGTGAAATCTCTTGTAAAATAATTTAGCTTATCTGTATACTGTAACCAGTCCTATAAAAAATGTCATTAAAATTTTATTAAAAAATAAATAGTGTTAAAATTGTATTTGAATATGAATACAAATTCTAAATTTAGAAAGTATTTAAAACATATTTAAAATAATTTTAAGAATAAATATTAAATAATTGAAATACTATTTTCATTTTATCTTTTTAAATGTATAAGTATCTAGGTAAGAAAATTATTTTTTTAATCAGTAATTACAAATTTTAAATTGTAATATTTCATTTAAGTATAATAATTAGAACTTCGTACTACCTACTTCATTTTATACTGAAAAATGAATAAAAATATTGTACATTTTATTTTTGAAATATTTTAATACTAGTTAAACACTATTACTAACGAATAACGATTGTTAGTAAAATATAAAATACATTAACGTCTAATTATTTAATATCTTGATTATGAAAATACAATTTTAAATATAATGAACTAATGAATAATTCTTTTGCATTTTGGAAACATTTGATTTTAAAACCTAACTTTTAAACCTCGGGGTTAATTTTATAGACTGTACACAAGATAATGCTAGGAAAACTCATGAAGCCTATACCCGCCCACGACGAGAGGATAAAAATGATAGCTCGATCGCTGTGCTCCATAGTTGTGGAATACGACGACAACGGTGACGAAGACACTTCAGCTCAGGAGTCGAAGACAAAAAAAAAGACAGCGACAAACAACCGCGGCATGACGGAGGAATTTATTAGAAACAAATGGTCATCACGAAATAATCCGGAGGACATCGGAAGCGGAATCTATGACGGTTGTAAAAGTGCAGACAGCGTTGGCGGTGGCAATAACGTTAGCAACGGAAATGGTGTTAGTGGATGGAGTAGCGAGCACAGGAGCATTAACAACAGGAGCAGCAACAGCACTTGTAGTGGAGCTAATCCTCCGATTGTCCGCAGTCGTCGACATTCGAACGACACGTCGAGTGTAACCAGACCAAAACCAGTGGCGGTGTACGTGGGTGACGCGTGCACCCACGACCAGTTCAAAGGTTTAATTGTGGTGTGGCTGGTGAACGACGGCCGTGGGATCCGCGTGATCTTACCGGCGTCCGTTTCGACCGTAGAGGACGATGACAGCTGTGACGGTGACCTGGACCCGAGCCGGAATACTCTGCACATGGCACTGTTGAACGACTTCGGCGGTCGGCGGCGGCGGCGGCACCTGTACTTCACGTACGGCCGACACCCGGACGCGTACCGGATCCCGGTGTCCGCGTTCCGGGTCCACGGCCGCCGAGGCACCGCCGACAGTGGATTCACCGACCTGAAATTGACCAATTGTCCGTCGACCGGCAGCGATCGGTGCGTGATGAACGTAGGCCGGAAACCGATCAGCGGCGGCGGCAACATCGGTAGACCTCTGGTTCCGGTCGACTCGGCGTACGGCGTACAGTGGTATTTCCGTGATCCTGCAGTCATCCGTCGGGCGGACTTGTACGTCTGGGACGCCCGTCGAACGTTTCACTCGGAATACTTCGAGTTGGTTGTGCGTGGTCACGTGGCGGCGGCGGTGGCGAGCGTCCAGCACGGTGGTCGACCGCCCGCCACCAATGTCTGCGGTTTGCCACCGAGAACGAGGTGTGGAAGAGATACCGAGCATGCGAAGGACACGGGACGTGAAAAGGACACGGAACAAGGAAAGGACCTGGAACCAGGAAAAGAAACGGGACGTGGGAAGGACAAGGGGCGTGGTAAAGACAAGGGTCGCGGGAAGGACAAGGGACGAGGAAAGGACGTGGGATGTGAGCTAGACTATGGCTGCAACAACGACGACGATGACCCGTGCGAAAGCTGCAACGACGTCAGCGATGCATTAATCAAAAACGCAACAGCTACCGGCAACAAGCGTCCCAGTGGGGGCCGACTATCCCCAGGCTGCATGGAAATAACGTCTGTGGACTACGAGAACACCCAACCAACGGGTACGGCCGCGGGTGATTATGTCCTGTGGGCGTTGCATTCCAACATTCAGGATTGGGTGCATGGTCAGACTGGACGTTTTGGTATGACCGCGTTGCTGTGTCCGATCGTGTGCAATACCGCGGGCGATTAATATTATATTCCTTACATTTATTATTTAATATTATTATTATTATTATTATTATTATTATTATTATTATTATTATTATTATTGTTGTTGTTGTTTAATATTATTATGATAAACGAAAAAAGGCTATTTAAACATTTTCTGTTTGTGTATATTGTACACGATAAAATGCTTTGATATTCATTTTTGATGGTAGTTTTAAATAGAAAATTGTCAAATTAAATATAGTTAGTAGGTACTTTAAATAAGTCAAAATTAAAAATTCCCAGTATTATTTTTTTAGTAATCGAAAAATACAAAAATAAAAATTAAAGAAAAACAAGAATTTTTACGTTAATCCAATTTTCAACTAAATCGATTTCATTATGTTACCTAATGTAACCAAAAAAAAAAAAAATAAAAATATATTTAATAACCGTAAATACTTGATATTTTCTTTAAATGTTTGAATTATCATTTTCTTTTTATAATTAAATTTCAAAAATATTTTGACTATTTTTGAACTATTTTTCAGCATGAGATTTTTTCAATTTTTTTTCTCCATAATTGTCCATTAAAAATTATTTGTTTAGTAGAAATGGTTGGAAAATTAATACAATATCCCATATACATATTTCTTGTATCTGTAAAAAAATATTATAAATATATAAGCACATTTTTTTTATATGCATTTGATAAGTTAAAATTTTAATGAAATTTTTCAAAATTGCAAAAACTTGCAAACTATTTTATTATCAGAAGTTCAAAAAATTGTTTTATATCTAAATTTTTAAAATTTAATACAAGATTCCTCAGAAGAAATTCTACTAAAACTATAAAATCTAAATATAATATAAAAACAATTTTTTATAGAAATTTTAAATTCTAATTTGTACGAATTAACATATTTAAACAATTAATAATGATGTTTATAATTTTGTTATAATTTAAAAACATTACTAGAGGGAATTTAAAACTTTTACATATACTATATTGTTAAGAATTCTATAATACGCAATGACATTATGGTATTTACAGAAAAATATCATTAAATATTGAGTTAAATAAGTTAATATAATATGGTATAAATATATATTATTATAATGATTAAATACTTATAATAATAAATGTAATATTTTCAGAAAAAAACTATATATCAACCTACCGCGTAGCGTAATACTAAGAGTGAATAAAATAATTTATTTTAATAGCTATATATAAAAAAAAAAAAAAAAAAAACAAATCTCGAAATATACTTTTTGATATTAACTGAAAGACCTTCGCTCTGAATCGTTTTTCGTGTACAATGATATATCATTGAATTCAATTTTAATACAACCATAGTAATGACTCACTCGACATCTTATTTACAGCAGAGTGGTACCCACTTATCTACCTTAATTTATTTAAGTGTATATACTTGTTTATTAGAAATAATTAAACGTAAAAGTCCCTTAAACAATCATAAGCATACAAAAATTCTGGTTCTCAGTATAACTTGAGATCAATAATTACGCTCATTTCCTATTGTTTTAACATGAGGTTACTTGAAACGTTTATTATTCTATTAAAGTACCACTAAGATAAATTTGCCGATTTTAGAAAATATTTTGTATGAAATTATACATGGATATTTATACTCATTATACAACTAATATGCACAATATTATTCAAAAAATCAATAAATAATTATAGTAATGCTACTTGATTTTCTATAAATGAAGTAATTATCTTTTATTTTGGTATCAATAAATGCAACCTACTCATAACCCTAATGAGATAACAATTAAAAAAATAATAAGAATAAACGGATAGCTCAGGAAAATGTATATTATGATTTTGAACAGTTTTTTCTTTTTACTTTTCAAAAGTTTATTCTATTTTCCAACTTTTTGTCATGATTATAATTTTCATTTTATCCAGAAAAGTCAAATTTTTATTTTTATCGTTTTTAGTGCATATTTTGAAATTTGTGTTGTATATTAACAATATTTTAGAAAATATAATGATACCTAATGATATACTCATGTTTTTATGCTATACATTTATATCTAAGTATATTCCCTGCTGAAGAGTAATAAACTAATAACTAGGTAATAACTATAATTTCATAAAATACAGGTGAAACTATACACGTACAGCACTCCTTTTATAATTGGTTACCACAGATAATTGGCACTCAAAAAAATTTGTATGTAGTACTTGCTATAATAATAACCGTCAGGAAACTTTTTTATTTTAAGGCCATATATCTTATGTAAATCGAGTAAAAGTAAGACATAGCACATACTCTATTAAAACTTATCGGTACTATTCAGTAGTAAGCTAAACTAGTTATTTTTATAACACCAAGTCATTCCGTAAAGAGCATAACGGAAAATATGTAAGGCGCAAAATACTCTTAAAACAACGATAAAAGTATTTAGAAGTACCTCCTTCGAAATATATGTCAACAACTCAATAACTATGTTCTTAGCTGGAAAAATAAAATTATTGACAAATATTTAATTATCCATATCCATTAGATTAACACATTCATTTCGTGTCACATATTTATTAAATTTGTATTAGTCAATGTACTGAAAAACTTTATATTAAAAGAACACAAAATCAATTTTTGTAACATTTGTTGTAATTAAAAAAAGAATAAAAATTAATATTTTGAAAATTTTTGAGCTACATTGATATTTTTTATCGTCCTTTTTAGTTTCTTTCTATGATTTATGACAATAAAATTAATACTCAATCAAAAATCAATATAATATTCCTTATGAGTTTTTGGCACTAAAATTTAAAAAAAAAAGTTCAGTTTAATAAGGACTTTCGTGGTATTTCCCAAATATTCTGTAATAATAATAATAATAAAAAAAATTTAATAAATGTTTAATTTTTATTTATATCTAAAACATGAAAATTAAATATAAGTTTTCTCATTTCTTATTAAAACCCATAAATCTACAATATACGGATATAAGTAAAAAAAATGTATAGATAATTAAGATTAAAATTTTAAACCTATGCAATATGCTAGAACTTTTAACTGTTATCAACAATTTGTTAGAAATTTGTTAAATTTTTCTAAAGCATTTTTGAATTTTGCTAGGAACCTCGTTGTCTACAGAAAAGGTTTCAAAAATTAGCACCCGCACTAACGCACCTTCTGACTTTTTAAAAAGTATGCCAATTTTTTGAACAAAGCTGCTTGATATTGATAGTGCATCTATTACTTTATTAAGTCTATGACACTAACGATTACTTCCATTTAGAGTTAATGATCCGTAAAAAAGCGATCTTTTCTATTTCAAATTTAGCCAATGTTTGATACCAGTTTTATAGTCAAACCTAATTTTCCGGTACCAACTTGATGATTAGGTATATATTGATCAAAAAATTCCTAACCTTGTATTTTTTTTAATAGCATTTGATTATTATAAATAATAATATAATTCATACAACATTTTGAGCAGAAATTAATTCAACCAACCTACCGTGTCAATAGTAGTAAATATATTAAATTACTTTAAAAGCAATGTTTAAATCCTTAATGAAATATATACATTAATAATAATATAGGCTCTATCTCCAATTAGAATCGTTTTTCGTATACAATACTTAATTATTGAATTTAAATTTATTATACTCATAACATTGGCCTACTTGCCTGCTTTTTTTTACTTATATAAATAAAAGTTAAATAACTTTATTTTTGAAACTTTTATTTGAGTTATGAATTTATGATTTATAACTATGAGTGAGCTACCTATTATATATTATTAATATAATTGGGTTTTAAATTATGAGTATTATAATACAAGTACTTATATTGTTTTCATATTCTTTACTTTATCTAAAATATCTCTATAGTCTACCAACATTCTTTATAACCATTTGTATACATATAATAAACATTTAAGTGCATCATATTTTAATTTAACATTAATTCTGTATTTTTTTTTTTTAATACGATTTATACTTTTTAATTATTATTTTAATTTATCTTATTGTATAACTACATTGATATTCAGTACTCGGTATAAATTTTTTTGAAACAGCGTCCCAAATTATTTGTTTTCTTTTCATCAATTCACATCGTCCTGGTCCATAATTAACTGTGAAATTTTGTTCAGGTTCCCAGAGTCCAGACCGTGAATTGTAACGTCTGTAGCATGGTGGATTGTAAGCAGCCATGCAATTTAAATCGTACAGGGAACTGGTGTTTTTATTGTAAGCATTGTGAATACCATGCTCACGGAACAATTTAATTGGCAATCCCTATATAATAATAAAATAATAAACTAATCATGCATAATGTATACATTAAAAAAAAATAATAATAATATTATTTATACTAGTAAATATTTTCAATTTTTTGATCGTAATTTACAAGTAAAATATAATATCCTACGACATAAACTTTGCAGTTACCAATGCTCTTTCTCTTATGTTCCGCATAACCCTGTTATCTCGAATAGACGAAACACACTCGTGATAATCTTTTTGATAAGTCGATTCCCTAATACCTTCATTTTTTGATGGAAATGTACCGTATTTATCTTCATACCAGTTATCAATTAGTACGCTTTTGTTGGTATACACATTCATTTCCCAGCTGATTTCTTAACGATATTACAAATTAAATTCTTTGATCTAAAAAAAAAATGTATTTTTATGTTTTTCCATTTACACACTATTGAATAAACAACAGTCTTAAGAAGTGTAAACATTTATAGTTGGTACTTATTTACCTATTTTTTTTTATTATAGCCAATATTTTAGAGATTTATATATTTTTATATTTTTCGATTTGAAAGGGAGCCGGAGTTATTTTTATATTTTAATGTTGTTTTGAAATCAAAATATGATCACTTAATGGTGAACAGTTATTATGTTTACACGTTAAATCGACACTCCGTTATAATTCATTAATTTTTCGCTTTTCGTGCTCACTTTGACCGTCGAAACGCATATCACGTTAAATATCAACTAAAAGTATATGTATTATTCACAACTCTACGAGACCAAACTTTCTTTGA